CATTGGTAACACGGGGATGTTTTTGCTGAAGCTGAGCAGTGCCTACACAGAGCCCGGCCCTGCTCTACTTCTCTTACTGCCCCACCAAGCAGGAGGCTGAGAGTGCAAAGTCTGGGAGTCTGAGCTCAGCTGACCCAAGGGACATTCCATACTGTACAACATCAGGCTCAGCATATAAAGCTGGGAGAAGGAGGAGGAAGGTTTATGGGATAACAGAACACTGCTTTCCTGGCTGATGGAAGTGGTGAATGGATTCCCTTTTTGGGGGTTGTCTGCCTGTGTGACTCTTGCTTTACTATTAAACTCTTTATATCCAGCCATGAGTTTTCTCACTTATACCTTCCTATTCTCTCCCCCATCCCTCTGTCTGTGGAGGGGCTCAGCTGACAGCCAGGCTTAAGCCACAAGAGTGACAACCACCACGAGCAAATTTCTGTAGATTTCTCATTATCAACAGGAAGATGGAACAAGTGGGGCACCAAAATCATTACAGCAAAATTTATATACAATGCATTTAAGTTTACAGTGTGCAAAATGTTAACAAAAAAATACATACTCTAATTTACATCAACTCACCATGCCTTTCACCTTATAAGAAAATAAATATAATACAACCTTTCTCAAAAAACAATGAATAGCAACAAGTATTAAACAGTCCTGAATTAAAGATTTCAGGACTTACCTCCAGCAAGCCTTTCTCTAGAAATCAGGGCTTGCATGAAACTCTGTAAGATACAGTGAGATTAGTACAGTCCATTTTGGCCTCTAAGTAACAAATTTAAGTGCTCTAAATCCTTGATTCCGAATAGAAATTGATCAAAGACAACTGTACTGCATTTCATCTTTCCCTCTTACTAGCCACATATATGAAATCCTTACTTCTTAGCAATGAATGCATGGAACAGCATTCAGACATCAGTCTTTGATTACAAAGGAAAGCTCAAATCCAAAGCTATTCCTTAGTGTCCTGACAGCTTCCAAAGCGCTTTATTACTCACTCAAGCAATCAATCTAGAACCAAACTTAAAATCAGTAATTTTAACAAAATCTCTTTCCCATCCTTTTAACTCATAAGACAAAAACAACATACTGTACAATGTATTCTGTAATCTGACAAATTACTTAAAGTGCAATTTAGAATTGGACAGTTCTTTGTAAGCATAAGCTTATTAACATTTTATTATACTGCCATGAATTTAAGCTAAATTATATCCGATTAACCCAGAATAGTGTATTTTAATATACAAACTCTTACAATTAAAACATGAATAATTAAAAAATAGCTATATAAAACATCATGACAAATAATACTGTACTCAAAGTTCTATCCAGCTTTCCACTGATAGATAAAAATAGGGAAAAAAAAGGGAAAATAGTTTCTCTATTCCTCTTCTGACTAGATCAGAAAGAGTAAACAAAGACAAAAAAAAACCCCAAACCCACTTTAGAGTAAATTGAATGCTTACATTGAAGCTCAGAGAAGCCCTAATTCATTAAAGTTTGAAGCACCTGTAAACCACAGACATACTTTCAGAACTGTTAAGTACAGTTAAATCTATTTTCTATTTCAATATACAATTAATATCGTAGAGTGCTTTGCTCTTAGTCTAATAGAGGTCTTTTCAAGGAAGAACAATTCAAATCTGGAAGAAAGTTTTCACATTTAGTTTTTAAATTTTTTATTTGCATAGAAAGCGACACACCAACTCCACCATTTTATCCACACAGAGAATTTACCACGTTGGCATCATATCAGGAAACCACATTCTTCCAAGGTGTTTGGAGACTTCCAGATGAAGCCGATCTAAGCTGTAATCACTATCTGGAATCAGCACCTCCTCCATTATGGAAAGCTGAGTAAGCCTGCCCCCACACATCTTTACAAATTCAATAAAACCCCTGCAGGTGACTTCACACTCCCCCAGCCCCATGGCCGTTAAGTTCTTACAGCGCTCAGCAATCTGGATGAGCTCATCATCCAAAGGTTGAAGTCCATTGGCACACACGACCAGCTCGATCAGCCTGGGGCAGTTCATGCCAATGCGACCCAGCATTGCCTTGCTCACTGCACGACCGAAGTACAGGTGTGTAACAGGCGTTTCCTCTCTGAAGAAAGCATCAAATTCATCTTCATACAAGAAGAAATACATCACAATGTTGACTTTAGGGGAGTGTTTAACAAGAGCATCCCAGCTTTGCTTTTTAATGGTGTGAAATTGAACTTGTCCAGGATTTTCACTCACGACGTCAATGCGGAGGTGCTCGAGATCAACATGTTTTTCACTTGAAAGAGCCAGCAGCAGTTCATCACTTAATATGTAGTAGTTCAAAGCCAGCTCCTTAAGTCCATGACACTGATCAGCCACACAAAGAATGCCTGGGGAACAAAAAAATTTACTCTCTAAAATGAAAAGCAAATATAAGCACAGTTGTTCTCTGCAAAATTGGCCTGATTTTTCATGCTTATATCCAAAGCCCATGAAATACCCAAGTTCTAGGTATCCATAACCTTTTACAGGGTTTGGGTCATTAACACTTCAAAAGACTAAAACACTAACAAAAGACACAAATCACATTCATCTTGGATCTGCATCTGCCCCTCCCTATGCAGATTTCCTCAAATTTGAAGAAGCAACTGAAATCAGGCCAGATTCAGCTACTATTCCCTTCCCTAATATTCATTCCTTCAACTTTCAACTATTTAAATCACCACCACCCAGTTTAACACCTACATCCTTCCATGAATTAAGACCTAAATAATGCTAACTCCTCCTAATCTGCTGGAATATGAAGTACATGGATTAAGTCACCTTTTGTGGACTCCAGAAAAGAATACAGGAATAGACCAGACTCAGACTCCCTTTCCCCAGCACTAAGGTTTCAGGAGAAAGGCAAGTGAGAAGGGACTCTGAAGCCCTCTGAACTTTCAGCAAGGCCATAATTTGAAGGGAGCGAGTTCTTCACCAAACAGTAAGGAAGTTACCAGTCCCAGATCTGGACACATGAGGGCACTCTGGAAACTGGAAACAGTCTTACACCACAGGTTTCTGAAATTTGTACACACTCACAGCACCTTGCAAAATTACTGACAACTGTTATGATCTCCTTTATCCCACCAAGTACAAGTTGATTCAGGGATCAGGGATTCTGTTATGTTCCCATAGAACACTGATTAGTTAAGTTTACAAATCTGCACACATTGAAGAGCACCCATTTGGTTACCCCCACATACTAAAGCAGAGAACATCACATCCTCTGAGCATGTGTGAAAGCCCTGCACTAATTCTGGAGGCTTTTTCTCCTCAAGGCCTATCATCAGAAGTAGCAAAGCAGGTGGAGAGAATGAAAAAAAATCCCCAGGATTCCAGAAGATGCAGTCATGTAAGCAGCATCCCCACCTTCATCAACCCAACTCGTTCACTAACAATCACCTTCAACACCTTCCAACTGTCCAAACTCAAGACTACGTCAATTATGATGCTTTATGACTCCATTTTTCACATGCATTCAGTACCCACCAGCAGGTGAAACATGAGGACAGCTGCTCATTTTTAGCAGTTTTAGAGTATCACTGTTGTTAGCAACAAGAACCTTCAAGGAAGGATCATCAAGGGGTGTATCATCTATCTTGATTGATGATAACGACTTGGAGTTCACAAAAACTACTGTCAGTGCTGATGCGAAATGAGCCTATTTGGAGAAAATGAGAGGGAAAAAAATCTTATGAAAAGATGGGCAAATCGTCAGTGCTTTAACCTCACGTTCTACACATGCAGAAAGCACAAAAATAAACACTTTCCATGGATCCCCATTACCAGGTAACAAAGGATTATTTCAAAGTAAACAGAGGGGATCTTTGTTTAAAAACATGGTGCTGCATGCAATGAAATTAACCTTACACTCATTATTTATCTACTTTGATTTATCCTTTCACTGCAATACATTGATAACTACAGGGATAACTGGCCACAGTGATGAGCCTGAAGTATCTGGAGGTTTTCTGTAGAAAAAAAGAAATGGCTTTTATTTTCCAGAAAGTAACTCTTTTGTTACTTCAAAGTAACTAGAGACTGTTTCATAAAAATTACCATCAACTGAAGAACATAAAGCTAAAGTGGTTTAAGAGTGAATTAAAATATGCTAGTTACAGTTTGTAGAGCCTTACCTTGGAGACATTCATGAAGCTTGGTTTTGCTGTAGAGATCAAACCCAATGTCTTAATAGAACAGTTCACCAACTGAGAAAGGATGTCACAGGCTGCTTCTGCTGACTCAGTACTACTATCAACCTATAAAAGCAATTTAAAAATAGTGAAGTCATTCTGCAGTACTATTTAGAAAATAGCACCATGGATACCCAAGATGGCAGGTTCTACATCTACTCAGCTGTACTGCTCCAGACTGCAACCATCAAAGGCACAAACTGCAACATTGACAGGAAATTTCAAGACCAGAAAGAGTTCAGGGAAATTACTATTAGAAGTGATTGCTGGGTAACTCTAGTACAAACACATACTTTAAATCTAAGTCTTGTCTTCATATAACCTCATGTTACTGCAATAGTACTGATGCTACGAAACACAGTGATATGTATGCATTTTTTCAAAATGTCGATTTTTAGAGCCCAAAAAAGACTTGGCAAAGTCTTTGATCGAGCAAACTAATCCATTTTATCTACAACAACAATGCCTTTGCATTTTAAATAATGAACTGATTCAAAATTCATAAGCCTGAAGAGTAACTTCAAACAAATCTCTTATTTTGCCACCTCTGTTTTGCACGACATTTGCTATTTCTTTACTCTGCAGAGGTTAGAGTACAGAAAATTGGATGAAACTGTCTGCGCATGTGGAAATAAAAAGTTGCAGTAGTTGCATTTTTAAGCATAAGACTTGCCAGGTACAACTCTTAAGGCAGCTGACACAGAGCAGCTGCATCCCTCGTGCTTGTGACGTGACGCTGACCCTGACCCTCTGCTCATCCACAGCTTACCTTGAAGCTGACGTACTGCAGATGGTCAGCGTGCCTCTTGATAATCTGCTGAATGAGATCCGGATGCGTAGACTTTAAATAAGAAGTGGCTGGCTGGCTAAGTTCAAATTCAAATCTCCTCCAGAGATCTGGGATGTGAAAAACTTCATTCCACCTTCGACAAACAGAAGATGCCCTGGCTCGATCCACTAAAGTCAGGAACTGAAAAACACGCAGAATCACGTGGTGTGGAAGGCTGCCCCAGTCCATTGAGGTGCATGGGTCAGATTCCCCAAGCTCTGAGCCATATAAACTAGTTTTCTGCTTTTTGCTTGTCTGTGATGCTCCAGGAGCTTCAGTTCCAGCCACCACCTTCTGCCCAGCTCTCTTCATCATGAAAGTTTCAGATTTTAACAATCCGACGTATTCAAACTGCACAGGTTCCTGAAACGTCTCACATACAATAGGTCTCTAGAAAAATAAAGACGATTAGTGGAGGAAAGAAGAAAGAGCAGTGGAAACACAGTAAGAGATAAGTTAATAAAATTTAAATACAGCATGTTATTTTGAAAAGAAGCATATCCATATGTCAATATCCAGTGCATAGATGTTGGCAAGGACCTTCTCCCTCAATATCTTTTATTTTGTACAACTTGGATTGAATCTGGAGAACCTGGCCTTGTTAATTTACCAAGTGTAGTTTTGAGTAGTAGTATTTCATAGTACATAGAGCATTTTGTAGGGAACAAGAAGTATTTAACAGCAATTTAATTCAGAAGTAGAAAATTGATTGTTTAAATTTAAACTCAGTTGACAAACTATGGAATCTACTCATGATCTCTAAAAAGGTATAGCAACAAAAACCTTAATTCATAAACTCAGTTTTTAAACACAGATAAACCTGGAATGGACATGTTCAGAACAGTCGGATTGAAAAGTTTTGCCCACCTTCCCCAGGTTTGGTTGTTGTTTTTTTTCCAAATAATGCCAAGCAGAGGAAAGTATGTAACTAACAATCAAAAACTTCAGAGGCCACTTATCAAAGCAGGGCAAAGTAAGAGTGGTTCACATGTAGTTTTTCAGCAGGAAAAGAACAGTGACCTTGGAAATCAGCAAACAGCATGGATCAATTTCAGCAAGGGATGTTCGCCTCACAAGCCAGAGCTCTGAAGAGCAGCATAAGAAAAAAGCTCCACTTTCACAGGCAGAAGCAGTGCAATCTAACCAAGTCCATTCTAGACTGAATTCTGTTGTTCAGTCAATTTTCAACAACTGTCTTTGCCACTTCATTTTAGAGCAGGTTGACGCCCCTTCTCGAATCCCACTAACCAGATGGTCATCCAGACCTTCTCTCTTCCTGGCCTGTGTGAAGTGAGTATTTTCAAAGCAACCATTTGTTTTTCAAGAAAGAACAGAGCAAATTATCTATTTTTACTGAACAAACTCCAATGGCAACCCCTACAGCTTGCTTTTTCTGGACTGAAAATTTTCCATACTATCTTCATTGTGGGGGGGAGGAAGAAAGGAAGAAAAAAATAACCCCAGAAATCCCTGTATTGCAAAAACAGCTGCCAAAATACATACTATTGCATCAAAAATTTACCTGGCATTTTCCCCAATCTGTAAAACCTGATCTGTTTGGTTCATGAGTGTCTGACAAACTCCATTTTTATGAAAACAAAGCACATGCATTCTTTGATAAGCTGGAAAAAACAAATGTAGCCAATTTACTAAGGGCTGTTCATATAACCAGCTTCACTACTGCTTGACTTCCTGACAAATTATCAGTCACCAAGGAATTTATTTTAGCAGTTGTTATACATATTCACCCAGTCTATTTAAATTTCCATTAGTGACTGGAATAAGCAGTATATGCAGAAGGATAAGCCAGCAACACTCTTTAAATTATATTAAATAATAGTTTTTCTTCCCTGAGTAGACACGGCTTAGATTAACAGTGTTACTAATGTAATGAAGATGCAGGCTCAGCATGAATAATTTTGCTATTAGACCATCAAGTTACCATCCACACAACCATGTTTTATGACTTTAGACTACTTTAAGTCACACAACAAAAGGGCATTCCAAACCATTAAGCCTGGATGTAGTAATTAACCATTACAAAACTCTATCTTACAGTTGCTCATAGCCTTGCTAAGTTTAGCAAAGGCTAAATACCTTTTGAGTCAAATATACCTGTTGCTTGTTTTTCCTCCTCCCTACTTGAGAAGAATTACAGAGTTGACTGTTTCCTAAAACAAAAGTCCAGAAGAAAAAAATGAAATTGAACAAATGCTTGCTATTGCTATTCTCACGCAGATCTGCAACATCTTGGTTAAAGATAGGAGAAATTTCCATTTTTATCAGAAACCTATCTTATTTGAAACTTACTTGAACTCCATGAATGCTGATTTGGCTCCAACAAAAAAGTTCTGACAATTGAGAACAACCAGAAAGGGCATTTCCCTAAACCACAGGTCATCTACAGACCAGAAACAGCACTCCAGATGCAGGAAGAGATGCAGCAAGGTATTTCTTGTGTACACAGCATCTATGCTCTGCCTGCTGGAATTTGGCCAGAACTTGTTCTTGCTGCTACAGCCTTTAGAAACTGCTGTCTCCAGAATTTCTATGTTTAATGTTCTACACTACAGTCCTTTATATCTAGCAAAATTAATTCCTATTATTCACTGTGGGATGCAAAGCCAGAAAAAGGATCCATTGGTTATGCACTGTAACATTTTTAACAAACATGAAGCCCCAATATTTACTGCTAAAATAAGAGTCTTTATTTCATTCTGAATACTTTATGAACAGTATCTATTTTAAAGCACAACAGAAGTTGACTAAATTACAGTCCCATATGATATAACCCAGGTAGCATTCAAATGAGAGGTTTATACACACACACACACACACACACACACACACACACACCCCTACCTCTAAAGAATGTGGAGGCTCCTGTCAAGTTACCAGTACCTTTCTGGTATCTGAACATCCATCCCACTGTTGAGTCATCCTGTATGGGTGCATGGATTCCTTAACCAGAAGGCAGGGACGGGTCCCAGAAGATGAACTGACCTGTGAAGCCACCAACCAAAGAAAAACTGTTCTGCAGTGTCTGGAAACCCATCGGAAGGACTAACATCAATTCTGGAACAAAGACTGAGACAAATAGTACCCACTGCTCTGTAGGGCAGATGTGGAAGCAGAGCAACAGAATGTAACAAGCAAATTCGTTTTACTAAACATTATCTGAAAAATACCATTTAACTAACGGCAAGCTGTAATTGTTGGCAAAAAAATAGCTTTTGTATTATCTACATTTTTAGTCACATGAGCACTTTTTTGCAACACAGATACACCTCTGAATTCTTGAGTATTATCCAAAGAAAACTACAAACTTTGATAAAAACTGTGGGGCTTTTTCAGCCTACTCTATACCAAAATCATGTGAATCAAATAAAAAAATAATATTTTGACATTTAAAGACTCTTGGCTTTAAACTTTACTCACTTGTACTCCAAAATTATGCTTACTGCACCATGATAATCTTGACAGTAAACAAACAATTTTGGTTAATTAAACTGTATCTGGAAAAAAGATATCAATAATGTACAAATATTCTCCCACATACTAATGAAAAAACTATCCCGTATCTTAGTATGACAGAGTATCTTGGTGCACTACGAGCAAATAGACCCAAAGCCCCCATCTCAAGTTACCAAATTTACATTATCTGAAGATTCTTTAATGGAAAGCTACAGGAACAGCAATATCCACCTCACTAAATCATGACAGGTTTTAGAAACAGAAGATGTTTACCAGGTATTGTGTTCAACCAGTAATAACATCTTTAGAAACCTTACAATGCTGAACCTCTCTATTTTTCTTTAAAAATGGGACAAGACTTTAGCTTCTCCTAGGTCATATAATAATTTTTTGGAAAAACTACCCAGTTAATGTCGGCTTTAAAGATGCCAAGCTTAACGAAGGTGTAGTATTCATTATTTATGAATACATGAGAAGTAGCCCTCATCTTCCACACAAAATCAAACTCAAGTACTGCAATGCTGCTGCTCAGCTCACACACCAGAAAATTTAGAGCTAAGTAGTCATGCTTGCCTACAAAGAGAAAGCTGATACTCATTAGTAATTCAGTTCGTGGGTGGCACCTGAAGAAATCTGTCATTTATGGTGGCCTTGCATTGCACAGTGTACAAGCATCACATGTTCTCTCTCCTGTGAAGTGAGCAGAGTCTGTACAGCACATAGAATTCATTTTCATAACTACTGTCAGTGTCTAACATATAAAAGGTTTATAATGCCACATATAAACAGCATGCTGAAATAACATTATAACTGAGAGCACAAAACACTGAGATGCAATTTAAAGATTCAACAGAAAAGTATTAAGTTTATAAACCACATATTTTGAAGCAACTTTCTTACCTAAAGAATGCTTCCAAGTTACAATAGGTAATAAACGAATGAACTGAGGCAGCTGCAGCCATGGGGCACTCACATGCATCTGTCTGCTTTCCCCTCCTGTCCAGATAAAAAGCCACAAAAATCTGTGTTAGTTTTGGGAAAAAAAAAATCTTCACGTTTCACCCAATGCAAAAATGATGGGGGAATACGTTGACATCAATTTATAAATTTTCTTGCTTTTGTGAAGGAGCTTGGGGGGATCATATTAGCACAAGATAGCTTATCCCACAATGCAAATATTGTCAGTGACAGAAACATGAGGTCAGATTAAGAATAAAAGTGATGGGAAACAAGTGTTGCAACTGCACTTACATTTATTGATCTACAGTTCAATGTAAACAACAAGTTATTCAGTATTTGCATTATCATTACCACACTAGTGAATCTTGGTAAACAACATTGTAGCTACCAAAGTAATCTAAAAGAGTCATGAAAAACAGAGGAAAAAAACCCACCCAAATGTTTTTTCCTGCCTTCTTCCCTTCTATGGCAAGGCTGTATAATGGCCTGGAGAGCCGTGTGATGAACCAACAGAGGCCACATGGCTCAGCTTCCTACCACAAACGTGCCCAGCCCTCACCAGCACCTGCCCAGGCCTGGCTGCAGTCACACGGCAGGAGCTGCTCCCCGACAACAAAGCACCCAGCCCGCAGCCACCTCCCTCTTTACAAGCTCCCAGAATCCAGGTGACAGCATGGGCCACCTGGGCAGGTGGACCACAAGGCACTGCATCAAGGGGTTCAGATTAAAAGTCCCTTGCCTCCCTCCACATTATTTTCTTTTAATATGACATTACAGGTAAATTTGTGAGAGTCTTCCATCACATGTAATCACAAAAAGCCCTAGAAACATAATGAAAAAAACTTACTTTATAAAAACACAACAAAAACCTGAAACTTTCGTTGTGATAAGCTTTATACTGCTTTAAATACCCCATTATGGGGGTGGGGGATGCGTATCCTCCCACCTGTTCTGAGCTCAGGATTTCAATATTCTTCCCAGCACTCCTCATGTGGCCACAGGCAAAAGTAATTACTAACAGTAAACAGACATACGAAAATTAAGGAAAGGACAGTCATATCCCTTCATAGTAATAATTGTATCAAATATAGATAGTCTTTATTGACTGGAATGCTCAGCAGGCTTCTGAATTTCACGGAGATGGGACTGGTTACCTGCAACAGCCAAATAACCAAGAGTACCTGAGGAAAAGAGCTTCTCTTGAACAGACCTGTCCCATGACCTCTCAGTAGAGAAGGAAGTTCATACTTTTACACTACAGATAAGAATTAGCAGAATTTTAGACAATACATTAAGAGAAGAAAAAGCTACTGAAAGTGACTCTTAGCAATAAAAATATAATCTAAGGCCACAAGAACCATCCAAAGCAATGTAAATCATGTTACCTTATGTAAGCAGAAATGTATATAATAAAATATTACAGTTATCAGAGATGCAATCAAATACAAGCCTGTTATGCAAACAACAGTAAATTGTTATCTAAGGTAACTATCCAAATGATTATCAAAGATAAACAAAAGCAACAAAGCCATTGAAATGAAACACTTTGATAACTGCTGAGGTTCATCAAATCTATTCATATCCTCATTTGACTAAAGCAAAGTATCAAAAATTTGTGCTCACCCTCCATACAGCTCTGCCTGTGGTCGAGTATTTTGACAGCTGCACCTTATCCTACCCAAACTACCTCAAATCCACTAAAGGCAACAGGATTCAGAAAAAATCAAGTTAATTAACTGCTTCTGCAACTTATCCTGCCAAGAGAGCTGTAAACTTCTGCTAAAATTAAGATGTTAAAACCTCTCCCGTGACATAGGGGCTTGGTGGTGGATTTGAAAAGTGGACGGCAGCCACTCTGTTAAACAAGCCTTCAGTAGCTGTTCACTACTTCCCAGGCTGCAACATCAGTCAAAAAAAAAGGCTTTATTATTGTAACCAAACAGTAACTCTTCCTCTGATTTCTAGACTTCCCTTCCAGTTCTCCACACTGGGATACAACAAGAATTAACGAAACACCATTAAATCAGGTTTCTAGTAGAAACAGTAGCAACCAAACACAAATGCAGCAAAAATGTGAGTTCCTGAAAAACAAAACCCTTCCAAATAACCAAGCTTAGAAATATTCTGGGATAAAGCAGGCATCTTGGTAATTAACCTTTAACTTTCTAACACCTTACACCGACTGAAATACCGGTACTATAATCACAGTGTCTTTAAAGAAATCGGAGCTCAGCACCCGAGGCCACCCCTTCACCACGCTGAGGAACTGTCAGAACGTTCAGAGTCTGTCTGCGGAACAAGAGCAGCACAAGGCAGGCAGCACTGGACAACTGCTGCCACCACAAATTCAACCACTGAGTATGGAGCAAAACAAAGTTAAAAAACACATTTTAAGCCTAAGACTCAGATAAGCTAATCCTTGAGGATGATGAGCTCAGAGACTAAGTTTTTTCTTCATCCACGTAATATCAGACTTTTAATGGGTGGCATTTTTGCTTCTGAAGAGAATTATTTATTTATTTTTAATCAGTCCTCATTTTTCTCAAAACTGCCTCTGACTCAAGGGTTTTATCACATTTCTAGTACGTTTATGACAATCCCTCAGATTCTAAAAATAACCACAATTGAGCTGAACATCCTAGTGCTTGCATTAATTTTAGCTGAAGAAATACAAATGCATTGCCACTTTTAGTACTATTTCGGTGGTGAAATTTAGATATTGGACTTCTACTGATGCATTACTTTCAGAAGGAAGCCACTCCTCTGTGCCCAAGACCCCACGTTTTACTCAATGACACATCTGAACCTGCACAGCTCTTTAGAAAAGCTCTCTTGAGGGTTCACCTCCAAGCCTACGGCAGGAATGAAAAATAATTGTTACTTCCACAGGTTTTTTTGAAACCTTCCTACCCGACTTTAACAAGCCATTTAAGCTATTTACATGGGAAAATCAGCTCTCAGGCAACCCGCTCCCGCAGCTCGGCGAGAGCTCCCGGGATGGCACAAACCCAACGTACCACACACCGAGCCCCTCAGGAGGCTTGGCGCTCAGGGAGAATTTAAGTCTCCAGGCGCGGAGTGCGTCTATCTGCCTGTCTGCCTGCCCCGTCTGTCTCCGCAACCCGGGCCGCCCCCGCGGCCTGCCCCCCCCTCGGCCGCCGCGCAAGGGCCGGTCCCCGCGGCCGCCCCGCCGCTCACCGCCGCCGGTTCGCGGCTCCCTCGCAGCGTGAGGCCGGGCCGAGGCGCCGAGCAGGGGCAGGACAGGGGCAGCGCAGGGCCAGCACCGCGCTCAGCCCGCAGCGCCCGGGACACGGCGAGGGCGGAGCCGCGGCCCCGCCGTCCCAGCGCAGGCGCCGGGCGAGGCCGGGGGCGGCGGGCACGTGACGGCGGCGCCATTTCGTGGCGGCCGCCTGGGGCCCGCGGGTAAAATGGGGGGGCCGAGGCGCGGGCATTGCAGCCGGCCATCACCCCCGGCAGCCCCACAGGGATGGGTTCTGTTCGTCGCCCTCGTCAGTCCCTCACAGACTAGGAGGCTGTTGCTGCCCCTCAGTAGGCCTCCATCTCAGAATCATACAATCACTTAAGTTGGAAGAGACCTCTGCGATCATCGAGTCCAACCTGTAACCGAACGCCAACTCGTCAAACAGACCGTGGCACTGATAGGAAGAATGTGTGGGCATGTCTTTCCAAGCAATTCCATGTGTGGGAGTATTTGTGTTAACGTCTTCAAAATAGATTATAATGTTTCTACCTACTTCAAGACGCACGTTTCTTATAGAACTCAGACAGTTTGACTCCTGAAACAAACAACTGGGTCTTCACAAGCCTGAGTTTCTGAACTTTGGGGTAAAATGACCGGTTCAGGGGGGGGATATGTGGTAGGCAGTTCGGGAAGGCTGTATCTTCCTAGTGCCTCAGCTGATGAGGAAAGGAAGAGGACAACATGCCACCGGGAGTTTAGGATAAAAGGAAGCTGCACCCTTCAAAACCGAGAGAGGGGGAAGACCCCGCGAGCATGTGCCCCAATGGACTCTTCCCCCTTTATTGGAATAAAGTTGCAGGGCTCTTCTGTCTCCTTTATGGACAGTGGCTTTTCCTAGCTGATCTTCCATACAGCACTGATTGTCATGTCCAGCTTTTCCTTTAACATTGCCAGGGATGGTGACTCCACGTCCATGGGCAGCCCATTCCAATGTCTGATGACATTTTCTGGGAAGAAATTCTTTGTAATGCCCAACCTAAACCACCCCTGGTCTTGCTTCAGACCATGTTCTCTTGTCCTGTTGCTGATTGCCTGGTCCCTGGCTCCCACCTGGCTGAACCCTCCTGTCAGGGGCTTGTACTCTACAGGAAGGTTCCCCATTGAGTCCCCTTTATCCCCAAGCTGAGCCCCACAGGTTCCTCACCGGACCTGTGCTCCAGACCCTGCTCCTGCTCCGTTGCTGTTCTCTGGACCCGCTCCAGTCCTCCAGTGTCTGTGAAGTGAGGGCATCAGAACTGGACACAGCACTGGAGGTGTGGCCTCACCAGTACCAAATACCAGGGGTCAGTCCCTTCTCTGGTCCCAGTGGCCACACTGTTGCTGATACAGGCTAAGTCCCATTGTCCTTCTTGGCCACCTGGGCACACACTGGCTCGCATTCATTTCCTGTCACATGTATTTTCCATCATTTCCTGACATGAAGTGCCTGTAAGCCTGCATCATCCTTGAGTCCTGGCCTTGGAAACTGCCCCATGAGCCTCTTCCAGAGGCTATTCCTTCCAGGCAGAGCCATCCCCTGCACTTCCTATGGAGGCTAGGCATAAAATCATAGGCTCAAAGAAGGATGGGGTACAAGCAACTGTTACTGATTCCTAGCAATCTTTTGGCCAAAAAGGGCCCCATTCTGAACAGCAAGGCTTTCCCTTCTTGCTGTGTGTAT